CTCTCACTCCAGTTACACTCTCACTCCAGTTACACTCTCACTCCAGTCACACTTTCACTCCAGTTTCACTCTCACTCCAGTTACACTCTCACTCCAGTTACTCTCTCACTCCAGTCACTGTCTCACTCCAGTCACTCTCTCACTCCAGTCACACTCTCACTCCATTCATCTCTCACTCCAGTGACACTTTCACTCCAGTCGCACTCTCACTCCAGTCGCACTCTCACTCCAGTCACACTCTCACTCCAACTACACTCTCACTCCAACTACACTCTCACTCCAACTACACTCTCACTCCAACTACACTCTCACTCCAACTACACTCTCACTCCAGTCACACTCTCACTACAGCTACACTCTCAATCCAGGTAAATTCTCACTGTCATTCCAGTTATTTTCTCAATCCAGCGTATTCTAATAAAATGACATATTTCTTGCAGTCTTCTTTCTTAACCTATACTCTTTTAATTATATATGTTGTTCTAGTTCACCAGACTGCAGAGAAACGCCGGTTGGTGGTTTACATACTGAGGCTTTTTATATTGAGCGCTGATATTTACGCGCTAATAGTAGCTAAAATTCAGCGTTAATAGTAGCTTCAAATAAGCGCTGAAAGTAGCTTCAAATAAGCGTTGAAAGTAGCTTCAAATAAGCGCTGAAAGTAGCTTCAAATAAGCGCTGAAAGTAGCTTCAAATAAGCGCTGAAAGTAGCCTCGCCGGCTGGCTGAGTGGCGTTTTACGCGCCTGTGCCAACTCATTTTAGGACAAGCCGGGATAGACACTTCGGTGCGTAGTTTTAACGCAGCGATTTGTTTCAGTGTTGGATTCCTAACAATGGTTCTCTCCTCTTAAAGCTATCCATGGTCTGCTTAATAATTATAGCATCCACATTTCAGCAGTAAAATTTATTATAAATGTTCCTATTTATGTTCATCTCAGTGATTCTGAAAATATTATTTGTCTGTGTGAAAATGTAAGTTTATCATGTTAAAATGAATCTTTTAAAACAGTGGCAAAACTGTAGCTCTATCAATCAGCTTTCAAACCTAAAAATCAATGTTTGTAACTTTAAATGGGAAAAAATTGACAACATGATTTTATCCATGCTACAATTTGCAGAGGCAAAATTGATGGCCATAGTTAAGGCCAGATAATGGTAATTCATGAATTTGCTCAAACAAATGAATTATGCTGAGCTATCAATTCAATTGTCAATTTGTATAGATATTAGCTAAAATTTTCAAGATCTGTTGATATAAATAACATATTATAGTTTGAGTAAAATTTGAAAGTCAATGTTCAATCTGGCTGTTATAAATATAGAATATAGTTTATTACTAGAGAGTTTATGTACTCTATTTTAAAAATATAGAGTATTTCTACAGATTTTATTACTCTATTTGTATTATTAGTGCAGCGCTGGTGCTTCAGCACCGACATCAGGAGACGTGTCAGCACAGCATCATTGTGTGTCAGCGTTAGCATCAGGAGACGCTGCTGGCGACGCTGACGTCACGGCAACCGGAACCTAAAGCGGACATAGAGCTTCTAATTTACACCGCAAAAAGAATTTGGGGCGACCCTGAGCCAGCGGCTGACAGGCATCCAAGTTTTGATAGGGATTAAGCGATAACTCCCATTCACCAGCCGTAGCTACTGATACACGAAAAGGATTCAAATGTTGATTTTTTCTGATTACATTTGAATTGGCTAAATTTAAATTTTTTCAAGGGAGGATTGAGATGCTGCTACGTCTGAGAACGAACATTCGGGACTACAGGGTGCGCCATAGAAACTTACTTATTTGAAAGGTCAATAAAAACAAAAGTACTTCAGTTATTGTTTTAAATTTTTTTTATTCGAGGAAACAGTATCCCAATTTTTTTTCGTACAGTTTTGAAAATTAAATTTCATAAATGACCGCCTCCATTGCGCATAAACTAATGAAGTCCCTTTTTCATAATGGTTTCCACTCTATGCAGCATATCAATCGGTATTTTGGCAATGACGTCGCGAATGTTGTTCTTGAGGTGTGCTATGGTCCGTGGTCCATCGACATAAACCAGAAATTTCAAATATCCCCATAAAAAGAAATCGCATGGAATCAAACCTGGAGAGCGTGGCGGCCATTGGAGATCGCCTCTGAGAGAGATGAGGCGGTCGGGGAAATGTTGTCGCAACAAATTCATCGAGTCTCGTGCTGTGTGTGCTGTGGCTCCATCTTGCTGAAACCACACGTTCCTAAAGTTCATTTCTTCGAGTCTTGGAAGAAAAAGTTCCTCGATCATGTTCATGTAACGAGCTCCATTAACGGTAACTGCGCGTTCGTTTTTTTTTAAATAAGGACCAATTATTCCCATTACCGACGTCGCACACCAGACAGTAACTCGCTCACAGTTAAGTGGCTTCTGGTGAAACTCACGTGGATTTACACCACACCAATAACGCATGTTTAGCTCGTTAACGCAGCCGGAAATGTGGAAGTGAGCCTCGCCACTGAAAAAAACGACTGCGTCTTCAGGCTGGTTGTCAACCAGCATTTTACATGCATTTTGAGGGGCAACAAAATCGCGTTCAGTTAATTCTTGCACTACAGCAAATTTATTTGAGAAACTTTGAGAAACAAACTTGGGAACTTTCCCCTTCAGATGCACCCCCTCTCGCCCCTCTACCCGACCAACTAACCGCACAGGATTTTTTTCAAATAAGTAAGTTTCTGTGGCGCACCCTGTACGACGTGAAATCTATTCTCGCTCCTCACGTCGAGAAGTTGCAACTCATTGTCTCAAACTCGGGGCTCTCTCATTGCAGTCTTTGTAAAGGTGATATCTGAGCCAGGACGCATTTTCGGGCTACGAGCGGTTTCAGGCGGCCGATGAATGGCCAGGAATTGGATAGAACTGATAGGCTCCGGCCGACCGCTGGCCAGCACTTATTACTTGCGGCGGCTGACCGCAAAAACCCTCGTGCTCTGACATCTGCGTAATTTAAGACTGAATGTCCCCTCGTTCCGTCCACAACGTCATCAGAACTGTTCGTATTAAGTATTTTCATTTCACATTTGAGTGCTCTCGTGTTTAACAAGTTAATGGTGACATATCTACAACAAGGAGGCTGATCAAGGAAAAAACCGGGTAAACCAATAAGTTGAAAATAAAGAGTATAGTCAATAATTTAATATATCTAAAAAGTGTAGAAGTAAAACAATTTATGAATATTAATATTTAAAGTTGCTTGAAAGTTTTCATTCGTCTAACTTATTTGATACAAAGTTTACATACTTTTTATTACTGCCCATAGTTAGTAAATAAATAGTGTAATATCCTTAATTACGACGCTGGGACTAAATCCCGTGCAACACCGGTGGTACAAGCAGAGACCAGGGCAGAGAAAGCAAGTTTATTCAAGGCAG